AACAGTCACCACACATTCTCACAGACTGTAACACAATCCGTCGCTCATGACACTTCACATTCACAATATATCACTCAATACAATCGTACAATGTAGTTCAATTCCACAACACATGAAATATAGCCACAGGTACATGCCTACAACACTTCATCACACATTCTAAACAATACAAACGTACAAAGTTCTGTCTATCCAACAATTATACAACACTATACATCACATCACAGCACAGAACACTGACTCACTCGACATACACTTGAGACACAGGATAACAAGGACCTTAACCCAACATATGTCACTCAGCCCTGCCGAACACATTCTGATTCCACCTCAGCACCTATCTTGAGTACTTCGAACAGCGCTTGCGCCCCCTTTTGCGGTGCTCGCTCGATCTCTTCTTGTGCTTCCACGTTCCTTTTCGGCGAGCCCTTTCCAACGACGATATCTGAGGCGTCGTCTCAGCCATCGTTGTCTCTTCCGACACCGTTAACGCGTCATTACATTCGACGGGTCCTGTCTGTTTATTTTCCCGTTTGATCATGCCTCTACATTTTGCCCGGCTGGCCAGCTCCGTCTCCTTTACACTGTCGGTCGGTTGAAGTTGTGCCGACGTAAGTCCGGTTGCTCGGCCCGTGAACTTATTCGACACGATCGTCTTCTCCTTCGCTGTCTCTTGCGCCGCAGCTTCCCCTTGGGCTCTAGTGAGATCCGTCACGGGATGCTCCTCCACTGTATCTCGCGGCCGCTGTGTTGGCGAGGACTCCATCTTCGGGTCTTCTTCCAAACATTCTGGATCACTTGGCCCTCGCGCCCCGTCGATGTTTTCCGATGACAAGGTCATACAGGGGGGTCGTCATGCATAACGCAGTAACCTTCCCGCTGAAGTACGGGGTTTCAACCTCGATTTCTGCTTCGGGAAGCATCCGGACCGTACGGTCAATTAGGCAAACCGGTTTCGTTCTGCCTGTCAACTCTCTTTCCCGTACCAAATTTCTCCTCACGATAACCGTGGAGCTACCGGTGTCTCTTAGAACCGTAATCTTCTTGCCTGCAATCTTTCCAGGAAGCGTTGGCATTCCCTTCGTAACACCGGTTGGCTGTTTTGACATTACAGCACCCACAATAGGAATTTTCTCCCCATTCTTCAACTCTACGAATCCATCAGTGACGGCATTATTATCAGATTTCGGTGCCGCTTGCACACAAGATACCTGGTGAGTTTGACTCACTCCGTTCCGACAAGCGTCTGCTTTGTGCCCAGTCTGACCACACTTAAAACATTTTACAACCGTAGGGCTCGTAAAGATCGTTCGACAGTTTTTCGCGCGATGACCCACTCGGTTGCACAAAAAACATCGCGGAATGCTCTCTGGTGCACGCTTCTTTTCTTCGGGAGCCAATTTCTTCGAATCGTCGGGGCACTCCTTCTTTACCTTGGCCAAATTAGTGCCACCTTGCGCTTCCAAGAATTGATCAGCCAATTCAAGCATTCCTTCAAATGACTCTGCCTTCCTCTCTTTCAAATACAGCGACAGGCTTGGGTGGCAACTAGTAAGAAATTGTTCTCTAATTAGGAGCTCTCTAAGCTCATCGTACTCCTGTGCTGTCCCTGAAAGTTCAATCCATCTGTCGAAATAATGGCAAAGTCGGGCAGCATACTGCGTAGCTGTCTCACCATCAGCTGGCTTTCCTGTCCGAAATCTGTCCCGGAACCCTTCCACAGTGAATCTAAATGGCTTCAACAAAGCAGCTTTCACCTTTGCATAGTTGGCTGCATCGGTCGGCGTCAGCCTACCGTACACACTGAGCGCTTCACCACTCAAGCAAGTACTCAAAGCAGTTGCCCATTGATGTTCCGGCCAATTCTGGCTCTTCGCAATCGTCTCAAATCGGTGGAGGTACGCGTCTAGGTCGTCCTTCCTTTCATCAAACGCTACGAGCAGCTTGCTTGGGTTCAAGCGGAAGCCGTGATCCTCTCGTTCGCTGCTTTCCACTCTAGCTTGGACCGGAGTTTCACTTCGCTGTTGCAAACGGAGCCGCTCGAGTTCTATCTCGTGCTGTCGCTGCCGTTCCCTTTCCTCTCTTTCTTCTTTCGCCCTTTCAGCTGCCAACCTCTCTCTCTCCAGCTCCAACTTCAATTGCTGCTCTCGTTCTTCCTTCAGCTGTCGCTCTTTTGCCTCTCTTTCTTCTTTCAGCTGTCGCTCCTTTGCTTCTCTTTCTTCTCTGGCTCTCTCTTTTTCTTCTTTTTCCTTCTGGGTGACCCACTTCCGTAGTTCGGCGCCAGAAAGACCCATCTTTTCACCAAGAGCAACTAACTTTTCGAGATCCATTGTGTCTCGCAACTCGCAACTAAAACCTTGCCGCGTGCAAAAAGTATCTGCCTAAATCAGTCTATCGGAACACTCTCCTGCACTCGTTAACGAGAACACACAAAATCGTTCCGATAGCACTATCAACAACTCGAGGCTCTTTCTCACTACTTTGGACACACTGTGCACCAAAAGGTCCTGTCGCGGACGCCAGATTAATTGTCACACCTGTCCCGTTTATTAGGGAGGCGATCGCCGGGCTAATTCCAAGAGCCGAAGTATCGGCCCCCCGAACCGCACCACGAAAGCGTGGACAATTTAGAAGTGGTCCTTATTGGTGCGCCAGCGGACGCCGGCTGTGGCCCAAAGAACAAGACAGAGCCGAGAGATGATAAACAAACAAAATTATATTCTCATTAACGGCAGATCAAAAACAATACACACGTATGCACACTCCACAATAGTTACATACAATACGTCACCAAACAGACAATGTACTACACAGTACAATCAACCACACTTGAAACAACGGACACAGACAACAATACGCACTACGATGCAGTCACATGCATTGAACAACCAAGACACTTAAGGACTAAAGAGATAGAAAACCTATTCAGTCCAAAGTCCTTGGAACAAAAGTCTGAATGATACTCTTCCGAGAATCACTCACTCAAAGTCCAGCGTTGTTGTCGTTCCGCAGCTCTCTGAAGTTTCTCTTCCAGGAAACCTCCCGTCTTCAATTGGCCACTCTTCAAACTTCAACTTCTTCGCCCGAACACGTCGGCTTCACACACGCAGCTGTTGCCACGCGTCCTCGCTCAATAGCGGTAACCCACGCTCTTGCCTGTAGCTCGAGCCGTCCCTACGGACCACAAACTTCGCCGACTACACGGCGGACTCTCTACGCACTCTGGCGCTCACTTCCGTCTCCTCCTGTTCTGTCACTACGGGCAGAACCTTCGCCGACTACACGGCGGAATTCCTACGCGTTCTGGCGTTAACTTCCGTCACCTCCTGTTCTGTCGTCTCGGCCGCTCGATTAAATACCTTCCGCGCCACCTTCCAGAAATTTCTGGTCATTTCGTCGGCGCGATACGCGGCGAAAGCTGGGAAGAGGGCGAGACAGTTGGAATGTCCTCTCCGGCCGGTGAGTCAACTCGGTATGGCCCCGCCCACTTCTTTCTGGAAAAATCGCGGGCTTGCTGGGCCGCCGATGTGGGGTGAGGAGGTTCGTCTGCGAAACCGTGCTTCTGCGGGGAGAGCGCGCGCCCGGGAGCCCTCGATGTTTGCTTTCTCTTTTTTTTTTTTTCTCTTTTTACCTCGCGGCGTTTCTGCCGCCCGTTGTCGCAAGGATTTGGCGGCGCGCTCTTTTTTAGCGCTCGTTCTGTGACAGCGGTCCGCGGCACAAAACGAGCCGCTCTGCGTAATGAAATTCAAACATTGCGGAAATGAATTGGGCGGCACGTTCCATTCTCTCGAATGGCACAAAGAGCTGAACAGCTATACGGCCCGTTTTATTATAGCCTGAGGGGGTTGCCCAGAAACGCGGCGCGATGGCCATCTCGTGTTTCATATTCACAAAAAAAAAAAAAACAAAACGGAGCGACCTCGCTCTTCCATATGCGACAGCAGCTCTGTGCGAGACGTTTTGTGCCCAATGCAAGTCATATTGTAGAGAAAAAAAAATGAACTTGTAATCTCTTTTGGACGCTATCCGCCCTTCGTAAATTTCAAGCGCAACGTATAGATTACACAGGAAAATATAACTGCGAAGCAGATGTGTCCTTTAGGCGTATTATTTATCTTTCATGCATTGTGTGCGACCTAAATTAGCCTTTCGTGGAATTTTTCATGAGACATATAATGGCATAGAATAGATGATTGTGGCACTGCAGTGGAGGCCACCATGAAGTGCAGGAGATGGAAGCGTTCTGATTGTTAGCATAAGCGATTCCGTTTGCATCGCCTCCCTCGGTGGAACGGTGGAGTGTGAATTCACGACGCACCCAGTGGTAAATACGAAGTCTTCCTCGTTCTTGCCAGATATGTACAGTTTTTCTGGTGTTCGACTCCATCCGTAGCATTTTTACTCTGCAGTGGACGGTTCAGCGCAATTCCTGCCTATAGTTTGGGATCGCGGCGGCAACCCGGTTGTGTTTCCGTTTTAAGCGCAGCAGCGTAAAGACAGGTGTCGTGTCGTGAACAAAAATATTTAACACCCACCTGTTGCTTGTTTAGCTGTCAAGGTTTAGTAAAACGAATGTGAAGTCGGTGATTGGAGTGAGAGGAAGTGGAGGCTATGGTTTAGTGTTTCAGTCCTTCTAACATGTTTGCCTCTGGAATTCAGTAAATCGTAGCATATATGTTCGTGCAGAACTAAAGTAAGTAAAGTACAGAATCGGAAATGCACAGAACACTATACTTTGTTTACTCAAGCAATGCAATAGCCACTTTATACCTTGATAAGTGAACTATGCAAAGTGCCTATGGATACAAGGCTCTCCATGCGTGTTCAATACGGCCAGAAATTATCATTGTAACCCACGCAGAAAATTAGGCGAAGATGCCCACGAAGATAATATTATCAGAAAATTCAATCAACATATAAGCATTTGACCACCTTGTTCGTTTGAGAGACAGTAATCTTTGATCGGTGAAATCGCACATCAGAAAAGAGCGAGGACTGACCAGTATTCGGTGGCTGGTGACAGGTTGTTGCTGAAAGTTGCTGAGGACGCTGTAGAGCCGATTCATGGATGGACGCCCCGGCTAAACAAGGTGGGGATCTTCATCTGGCCTCCTCCGCAAGCCTCTGTCGACTTCGGCTGTGGATTCTCGCACGGGACGGCTGCGAGCAGGGCACTCAGGGTGCACGTACCCCCTGGAACGAAACAGACCAGGGATTGCATCAGCGCAAAGAAAGGCGGATACCTTTAAAACGTACGTACAGCCAACTAAAGTAAAAAAAAAAAATCGTGAAAAAGTTTGATATAACAGTGTATCTTCGACAAATCTGTCGTAAGACCCACGTTCATAGTCATGCGACACATTCGGAGTATCAATTTTCAGAAGGCTGGGAGGGCTCCAAAAATAATTGTTCTAATTATTCGAGGTGTGCAGTTTATCCGATATTGAGATGCACATCGAATCGACTTGGCTACTTGGTTTGCGTTCGGAAGTGGAGTCTTCACCAATACCAGTGGGTGCGGGTGCCGTTAGTACAGAAACAGGTAATGATTTATTGGGTCAAAACTTTCGAACAGGAGACACTGTACCCATGAAAGCACCTAACGCATATTTGGCGGTTTACTGACAATCACTCGCAATATGAACGGTGAATCTATTAGTTGTACCCCGCGTGTTTCCACCGGTCTGTGAAACCAACGCCTCCTAGAAAAGTTATGCCTGGAACGTGAGCCGCGATCGGGCCACCTTATCCTCGGATTTTACCCTCCACCTCCGGTACGGAGCCGAACGCCTGTGGCGGTCGCCCCCTGCAAACACAGCAATGCTCTCACAGTTGTCTCCGAGCAGCTGTGAATGTCACGTGATAGAGCGGTACGTTAATGTGACGTGACAGAGCGGTACGGAGGCGAGTGGTCCCACGCGGCGGACGGTCGCAACACGCGGTAGGAGGCATGGCCTCCGAGATTTTGTGCTGGCAGCAAGCTCTCAATTGAAGAGAGAGCCACGTTCCAGGCATAGTCTTTCGAGGAGGCGTTGGTGAAACAAATTGACCTCACGTGCTACGCGATATACGCACGCGCACTTCCACCGCAACGTGTTGCAACTTACTGCAAACGACGCCTGGTGTCAATTTATGGACAACACCGCGGGAAATCCCAGCAAGACTTGCAACTTCTAGCAGGGGCAGGCCTACGTGTCCCGACCAACAATTCCCGCCGTGGCTGTTCTTGATACTTAGGGCTGTGATTAAAAGTACCGTCGCTAAGGCTTTATACTCGGACGGTTCTCGAAATAAGGTTGCCTTAGCCGTTCAACGAAACTCGGAAAGCTTCTAAAGCGATCTTCTATTACGTAACTCCACCGGCGATATTGAAAACAGTGTGCACGGTACAACGGTACTTCTTATCTGCGTGATGTCGATATTTATCCACACTAGACGGAAGATGAGCGAGGCGGCGGATGGAACTGTGCAAGATCGAAAACGAAATATTTCCCGTGCCGATCGAGAGCGGCTCAAAACAGTCGCGCTGCAGTTTCCTTAAAAAGCATCGATTTCACTTTTAGTGAACACAAATAGAAATGAAAAGAACCCGTACGTGTCCACGTAAAGGTTTCAACTCCAATTCAATCCAAGGTGAATGAAAGCACTCAGTGGCGATAAGCAGGAAGAAACCTTTGGCACGAGGTTTGAGCGGACGAAAGCGTTGCTAGTTTGTTCTTATTTATTTGACGGGGGAAAACGCTTTCTTGGTCACGGGTCACTCTTCCTTGACACAAATTGAACGCAGCAGGCCGCCGATAGAGTTTGAACATGATAGCGCGCTGAAGTATAAGTGAGATTCAAAATTAAGATACGAGTTGTATCGCTGTATCACCGCCATCGCGTTCAAGATGTAGAGACAACGAAAAGAGATATGCAGGTACCATTAACCTCGTAACATCGAGAAGATATGCCTGCGTGATAGGAACCCTGAAGGTCGGCCAGTTTCTTTCTTTCTTTCTTTCTTTCTTTCTTTCTTTCTTTCTTTCTTTCTTTCTTTCTTTCTTTCTTTCTTTCTTTCTTTTCTATCTTCTTCTTCTTCTCTCTTCTGTCTCTATCATATATTTTTCTTATTTTGTATTTTCTTTCTTTTTCTTTTTCGTTCCTCTCACACTTTTTCTTACTTGCTTTGTTTATTTCTATCTTCCTCTTACTTTGCTTCTTTTCTTCTCCTTCTTTTGTTTTATTTTCCTTTCTTTCTTTCTTTCTTCTTTCTTCTTTCTTTCTTTTTTCTTTCTTTCTTTGTGTCTTTCTTTTTGTGTGTTTCTTCTCTTTCCCCTTTCTTCCTCACTTTTTCCTTTCCGTTTTCTTTTCTTTCTTTCTTTTTTTCTTCCCCCCGAGACAGTCACAAAGCGAGCGAATGAGGAAGACAAGTCATCACACTCGAGATTCAACGCGCGTGCTTAAACGTGCCTGCATCAAAAACTTTCATGAGCGAATTAAAATGTGACATCATTGCGTAGTTGGCGCGAGATGAAAACTACGGGGTCATCCGCGCGCGCTTATCGCAGGTTTTTCATGCATACGCGTGTAAAGGGCGGGGAGGAGGAGGGGTATAGATTATGTCACGCCATTCTGGCAGAGCTACGTTCGTTCTCTCTTAGATCGCGCTCCATTTTACGACCCTCCTCCCCCCTTCCGATCTTTTTTTTTTCACTCTTTCTCTAAGAGAACTCGCTGCCAAGAAAGATAGAGGCACTCGGCTTGTATTCGTGGAGACACTATAGGCGCCATAACATTCACGCCGCGAACACTTATGGCTCTCTTTCGGAAACGGGAAAATCGTCTTCGCGCTATGAAGAAAAAAAAAGAACAGTTCTGTGAAAACCCACCATTGCCACGGCAAGTTGTTAACCCGGTTTTCACTTCCTCTGCGATCACTTGAAACGGGGTCACATAATCAGCGTAATGAGATCGATTCTAAGACGACCTGTTGAAACGATAGGCGCGAGTCATTTTCCATAGGCGGCTCACTTTCGTATCTTTTTCTCTATCGTTTTTTTTTCTTCCCGAAAAGTAAGCGCTCCAAACTGATGTGACACCCAAAGCGCGTGCGCTTCGGAGAGTGAAGAAAGATAAGTGCGACCAACCTGTAAACGAAACACCACGGACTGAGCTCGCAAAAGGTGCGGAATACGTAATCGAATATTCTTACTTAATGACACCACTTGCACGTCGTTTTTTTTCTGTTTCTCTGCTTCTTCGCCAAATTCACCTTAAAAAAAAAACAAGAAAAAAACTTGTGTGCGTCATCATGTACACACGCTATCATTCCACCGTTACGGGTATAAAGTGTTGATCTCCAGATCGACCCTGGCGTAGTAGTCGGAATGCTGCGCCGATCATGCACGCCGTAACGTTTTACGAGAATACGCTCTCTCAAAGCTAACCCCAGGTGGGCGAAATTTCAGGAGCCCTCCACTACGGCGTCTCTCATAATCAAATGGTGGTTTTGGGACGTTAAACCCCACAAATCAATCAATCAAATCAATCTCTCTCAAAGCTGCTGACTCACGGCAGCGGCGGTCGTGTTTTGATGGAGGCGAGGTGGTCGAGGCTCGTGTACTCTGGGATGTCAGTACACGTCAAAGAACACCGGATGGTCAGGATTTCCGCAGATATCCGCTACGGCGTCAACCGTACTCATATCGTGGTTTTGACGTGAAACTTCAAAATGTTATATCAATATATATCAAGTATATATGCTACACCATTACTATAAACTAGGTCTTACAGGTCTCGATGTGTAAGTGTTTGTCTAACGATGTCTTATGAACTGTTATAAAGAAGTGAAACTGTCACTACTTTGTTTCATATTGTTTTAACATCTGTACATTACTGCTCCTTGTGTGCCTTATTGACTGGAACGGGTTACTGCACCTTGTGGGGTAGAAGAACATAAACTTCATTTGTCGAATCCAGACGATTCGAGGCCGGCGTTTTTTAGTGGGCCTGGGCACCCACCGCGGATGTGGTTCCGAGACCTTGTCTCGAAGCGGCTTCCTCGGCACGCTGGACGGCCCAGAGTTGTGCTGTCAGGTTCGAGCTGAGCAGTGCGGCCTTCCAACGCGAGCGGAGGCTGGCGGTGGAAGAGTGAGACGAATCGGCACTGTTAGAATTGTTTATTAGGCCCTGACACTCCCACAGCATGTGACTAAGGGTGGAGTATTAATTTGCCTTTTAGCCAACTTTGTCCCTTACACACTTACACTCAACTCCGTAACCAATTTATTGGCTGAATCGAATTGTTACCCTCTCACGAAGCCTAACGAAGATGCGAGCCCCATCATTGGCAAGCCGAAATCGAATTGCGCGAGTCATCGTACCTCCGAACTAATAGAGGTCGACCAAATTGGGTTTATCACCGCAATGACACCATATCGAAAATGAAAGCTGGCAAATGCGTTGCATATTCAGAACTAGGTTCTAGAGTACCAAGTAACTAAACTGCGATAACATTACGACGCGCACCTTTATAGGGGGGGAAATCAAATCCATTTTCGACAACCTGTACTTATCAGCCTAAAATTGGGTATTCGAGTGATTTTCCATTCAGCTGCCTTAGACATGCATCTCCAGGAATCGAACCCGCGTCCTTGAAGCCAGCAGGACAAACGCTCAAAGCCGCCAAAAGAGCGCGGAGCGCAGAGTACAAGAAATACAGGTACAGTAATCTACCACACCTCATGACACTTCACTGACTCGGGCTTCGAGTGGACCATGCTCTTCAACAATGGTGACTGCATATAGTACTCCATCCGTAGGCGTGCGCACAGGGTGGGGGGAGTGAAAGGAGGGACGCCCTCTTTCCCCGGTCACCTATACGATACATTGATATAATAGCGAGGGGGTGCGACTGGGAGCGGGGAGGCAAAATCGTCCCATACATTGACATTACAAGGGAGGGGGCGCTACGACGAGCACTTCGCACGCCTGACTATCAAAAAAAAAAAAGCCAAGATAATAATTGTTGTTATAGTAAACTGGGTTATAGCTTCGAGATCCTGATTTCTCAATGAACGCAAATGCGATCGGAATCGCTCGCGCCCCAAAGCGTTTACGTGACCAGTGCCACAAAACGAGCCCCTGTAAGGGGGTGGCGACGTTTTCCCATTAGGTCTGGAAAGCTGTGGAAGGTGAGGATGAACGA